AAATAAAAATATTCAGAAGTCATTTTTAAATGTAATTAATAAAATACTCACAACCCCAATTATTCTGTGGAACTTTGGCTGACAACCCTGGGGGAGGTCCTCTAGCTTTACCTGGAGCTAGCCATAATTCATTTGACCCTGCTGCAGTTGGAGGAGTTTCACCCCAAGGCTTTGAATTGGTTAATTTGGATAAAGCGCTAAAAATTAATTAATATAAGAAAAATTTCAAAAATCAAATCAAATTTTCGTATTTAATAACCGAATAGATTTCAAATAAATGACTTACCTGGTATATACTGAGCTACTAGCTGGATTGAAAGTCCATGGTGAGCTACTTAAACTAAGTGGAGGGACTGTATCGACAGTGCTTGTAGCAGGTGGTGAGCTCTTACTGCTGGAAGACAGAATTTCTGTGTCTTTTATAGTGGCAAGTGAAAGAGGAGACCGAGCAACGGAACCAGGAGTCATGGACGGGTCGTCTTCTACCGACTTGATCTGTGTGCCCTAAAAAAAATTTTATTTTAATTGTTTAAATAAAGAGCTTTAAAAAAAAAAAAATTAAAAGTTTTAAAGAAAAATTGAAAAAGTTATACAACCTTCCAAGGTTTACCCGGCTCGAACTCCGGTATAATATCAGCAAATGCATTGGCCGGAGCCTGAGAAGAATTCCACTGGGTATCTTTAGAATCCGATGTGATGTCATTGGTTGCAGAATCTGGCCACCCCGTATCAGAATTCGAACGGCCAACTGAAGACCAAGTACTGGAAAATAATATAATAAAAAAAAAAGTTAATTTACGATTTTTTTTTTTTTTTCTTTTAAATTAAATATAAAATTATTACTCACCTATCAGTCTGTCCCAATAAAGGATTTATATTTGGTGATGAATGACCTTGGGGTAATGAACTTTTAGAGGTAGTTCCTGGCGCACGACTAAATTCGTTTCCTTCACCATCTTTGTCAAGAGACGGTAACTTCCACTGGTTTAAACGAGATTGCTGGGCCTGAAAAGATGCTTGCTAAAATGTTAAAAACAAATATTTAATTTATAACAGTTGTGTCACTCCTTTTGTAAAGTTTCACACGTGCAATTTAAATATATAGATTTAATCAAATAAAACTCACTGAAGAATCTTTATTAAGACTGAGATCAGAAAAATTGGTTTGGAGTGCATTGAGGGGATCAGTCAAATTTGACTTAAACAAGTCGACTGGTGGGTCATTTTGCGACATTAAGTGTGCCTGCTGCTTAACATGAGCTGCTTGCTGAGCTGCTATTTGGTTCTAAAAAAAAAATTAACAAAACAAATCATCATTTGTGTCGAAAGACAAATAAATATTAACTTATAAAACATATTAACATTAAAAATAAAAAATAAATGCTGTAATTTTAAACGGACCCTTGTCTCAAAACAATTATCATTTTCTTATTATTATTATTATAATATGCTTTTCATTCATAAGAATATAAAAAAAAAAAAAAAAAAAAAAAAAAAAAAGGAAAAATTGCAAAAAAAAAATAGATTATTTTATGGTAAAAAATTTTGATAAATTAAATATTTGAATTTACTGTTCAAAAATTAATAGAATACTTTAATTAACAGGATTGGAAAATAGGTATGTGGAGATTTTAACCCACTTACTAAAACTCGAATCAATTTCTTGATTTTATCTAAAAGCTGTCGATCTTGCTTGGGTAATCTTGGTCCAATCTCCTAAAATGGTAAATTATAATTTGGAAAAATAACTTGCCTAATGCAGGAAAAAAGGAAGGAAAATTAAGGAAATAAACACAAAATATACCACCATTCTAATACAAAAACCTAACTTGCCTGATAATTACTAATATTTTGTTTAACTTTTGTGATTTGAACGGATAGCTGGAGAGCCGCATTACTGTTTTTTAACTGTCCTCCTAAACACATTAAATTGTGTTGTTGATTTAGCTGCTGCAACACCTTAATTTGTTGAAGAAGTTGATTGAGCATAAACAAAGTTTGAGGTGCTAATGATTGATTCAATATCTGAAAAAAACATTCAAATTTTAAACTCAAGTTTTTGACTTGATCTTGATTTAATTTACAAAAAAATTAATGTAAATTATTTATGATATTTTATACAATATAGATGATACCTGATGATTAAGATACCCTGCTTGAACTGCCATTTGAATTTGTTGAACTAACATTTTTAATTGTTGCTGACTAGGTTGACTTGTTCCAGGCCTTTGCTGCCCTTGATTTAATTGATTACTAGATTGCTGTGCTGT